CAATCACCACTTTGTAGCTGATATCATCATTCATCATCATCACCATGATCATAAAAAGCTTTGGCTAAGTGGCTAATTATAAATGATGCTTACCAAAAGATTTGCATTTATCCTTCCTCCTGTCCACTTCAGCCCAGGGAAGGCCCAGAAGGAGGGAAGTGGTCATGGGGCTTCCAAAGACTAAATTAATAGAAGGAACTTTAGGTATATGAGTTGTCCTATGAAGAATGAGCAGTGGACATCAGTTAGTTTGTGGAATCAGTGGGTGCTTTTGGAAGGAAATTAACCCTTGAAGTTCAAGACATTGATTTCTTTTTAATGTAGATAGCAAATGTGTGTGTGTGTGTGTGTGTGTGTGTGTGTGTGTACAGAGGGGAACAAAAGGAAAATAGCAAACATTGTGTGCATAGTATAGAATTACCCATTATTCTCTCCATTCCCCCCAGAATTCAAAGCATCCTTCCCTCATCTCCCCAGCAGAGAAAATGGGGGAAGGTTAAGAGGAGTAAAAATGACCCAAGAAGAAGGGGGCTGGGTCATGAGGGACTGTCTTCCAGTCAGAGGAGCTTTCACATTGGCCATCCTGAAGAGCTGCAGGACTCGGGCAGTGAGCCACGAAGATGAGGGACAGTGTCTGACGTATCACCCCTGCCTGCAACCATCACTATGTGGCTTGCCTTCCACAATGGAAAGCCAAAGAGAGAGGTGATTCTTCAAGGGAGGGTGTGTGTGTACTCATGCACAGGTGTTTACTCAGTAAGAACTGAGGGAATTGGTCACTTACCACTTTTTCCTTCCACGGGGGCCTTCCATAGGGCAGTGGAAAGGACCATTCCCAGGGATTATTCAGAGAAACAAGGCTAAGTTTATGACCACCATCCTCTCTCCCAGAGGAAAACTAAAAGGATTCTACTGTTGGGGTAATGACAAGGACACACTCACACACACACACACACACACACACACACACACAAAGTAAAAAATGTAATAAAAGAAGGCTGGAAAATAGAATAAAATGATCATTTATATACCTGGAATAAGTACATTTTAAGGTCCAGGGCAGAGATAAAAATTTAAATATTTACTACATTATGTGTCACATTATATGTGCTTATTTTGGTTGGTACATACATCGCTTTTAGGTGATTCCTCTCTACTGGCACCTTTTTCTTCCCACCATGTACTCCTGTTCTGATGTCGTTTGTGTTCAGCTGGAAGGTCAGCATGGGCCTGGGAGGAGGGGAGCCCTGGGGTCTGCTCCCAGCCCTTGGTTTCTGACCACCCCTTCTCTTGATTTTTCTCCTACCTTGGTCTCCTTTGCTGGCTCCTTTTCCTCCTGAACTTGAACTGTAAATTGTTGAGTACTGTGAAGGACTTGGTCTTGGTTATGTTTCTCTTCAAGGTCCACATTCTGTCTCTCTGGAAGACTTTAGTGCCATAGGTTTAACTATTTCTACATATCTTTAATTCATAAATCATAAATTTCTCTGCCATATTCCAGACCTGAATAAGTAATCACCTCCTTGATGTCTTCATTTGCATGTCTAATTTGTCTCTCTGGTTTAATATGTCTATAAACAAGGTTTTGATTGATCCCAACTAGTTTAACCCCACATCTCGCCTGTTCAATAAATGATACCACCAACCCACCTAGTTGTTCAAACAAAAAACCTAGCATTCCTTGTTTATTTCTCTTGTCCTGTTGATCATCAATTCCTGCTATTCTACCTCCTAAACACATCTCCACCCCCACCCCGAATTCTCCTCCACTCTGTCTCTACTCATTCTACATTTACTGTAGTCCAAGTCACCACCATCTTTCCCCCAGACCACTGCAGTTTCTTGGTCTTTCTATTTTTTCTTTCGCCCCTTTGTAATTCATTCTCCCGACAGCCTCTATGTACCATGTCTCTCCTCTGCATGAGAACCATAATTGGCTCCACATCCATCATCCTTTAGGTAAAACCTGAGCACCTCATCCTGCAAGAATGCACCCCTTGCTTCTTCTTCAGTCTCATCTTGCACGTCCCTCCCCATTGCCCCGTCTCCTCCCAGTAAATGGCCTTCTTTATCGTCTGTGAACACTCATGACTTTTCTAGCTCAGGCTTCGGCACCTGTCTGCCCAGAAATCTCTTCCCTGGCTTTTAGCATGGCGGGCTCATCCTCATCTTTGAATTCTCAATTGAAATAGTATCTCTTCCGAGGGAACTTTCCCAACCACCCTCTTCAAAGTTGAATCTCCAGGTTCACTTCTGACATAGCATCCCATTTATTTTCTTCAAAGCATTTACTACAGCACATGAATATCTTCTTTGTTGTTTACAGTTAACACTTTGTATCTAGACTATAATGTGTTTATTACATGAAAATGTAGACTTATAAGAATGGGTATTTTGTTGAGGTCACACCTAAATCTCCAGCACCTGGTACCATGATGGGCACCCAGCAGCTTCTCAATTTTGCTTGTTAAATGACTGAATGATCCCTACCATCATTGCAAATATCTGAATTTAGATACACCAAGAAAAATCTGTGCTTTCATGACACTGGTGCTCAGTGAATGATGGCGAAATGTTGCTGTCTCTGGTTGGGGTTGTGCCTCATCTTCCTTCACCTGGGAACTGTCACTTCTGAAGCTGTGACTTTACTCACCCTTAATATACGCTAGAGAGGAATGATCTAGGCACAGGGCTTTTCTAAAGCTAAGGAAATGAGTCTCCTTCACAAAAGAACGAAAAACAGAATTCTGATTCATGAATCTGCTAATGGCTTTTCCCTCCAGGGGAACCACCCATGCACAGCGAAAACTCTCTTGGGGCATGTCCTGTGCCTGATGTGAAGGCAACCATGGGATATCAGCTCTGCTTGTAGCTTGACAAGCTTAACCCAAGGGATATTCAAATGGTGGTTCCTGCCACCATATCAGCCTGTGTGCCCTTCTGGAGGAATGCAGGTTCTTCCCCGTGCTTCTCCAAGGTTTGTTTTGAAGAATTATTGGCCTAGTTGATAAACTTGTGAATAAAAATGACAGTGATGAAAGCAAACATGCAAATGTATATTTCTTCATAAATTTTGAAAACAAAGACTAAAAGAATCATAAGTAATCAATTTACAACCTAGAGAGTAATTACTGATAATTGGAGAAGGGTAAAAGTGGACCTTTTATGTTGTATTTGTTGTTGGTTTCCTTTAAAATTTATTTTTGAATGGAGCACCTTACTTGTGTGAAGTCCAAATTGCATATTTACATACCCTGAAAACAGAAAAAGCGATCAACTGGATGACTCAAAACACTCACGATCTCTTGCCTTTCATTGAAACATGCAAGGTGAGAGGAGGGAGTGGAAACTAACAGAGCAAGCACAGAAAGGAAGCAGAAACTATTGCTGGGCAGGCTTGGTGACAGACAACACTAGAGAAGGAAGATGCAGTGAGATGCTATTCTTTTCTCCTACCCGCTCGCCACCTGTCCTCTTCCCCACACATCCAGGTTACTTAGTTCCCCGCTCTCCTCTACCCCCAGGGAGTGAGCCATTGTGGTTTGAAAACACTCTATGCAATGCCAAGAGCTCTTACATGTATCTTGTGGTTTGAGAGTACCTTTATGTAGCATTCCCATCATTGTCATCAGTGAACCCTTGTTAATGATCTAATATGCAGAAGAAGTGACACAAAAGCACTTTGTAGTTGTCAGCCAATTAATTTTGGCCATAGACACCCCAAAAGAGGAAAATTGAGGCACAGTGAAGTAAATGCCAACCTTACCTGTAAGTGGCAGTCTGAAAAGATCAGATCAGACCAACACTCCCCCACCAGACCCTAACATGTCTGATCTAGTGACAAAATACTGCATGGTTTCTGGCAGAAATGGGTAGAAAACCATTCTTACCACCTCCTCCTGGAGAGTTAGAGAAAGAGTCTTTAACAACAAACCTTGGTCTCTACCCAAATATAGCCAGCCTTCCTTGTAACATCACCTAGAGCAGAGGTCATCTTTCTCATAGGGCTGCAAAGACTGAGGGAGAGAGTACAGGTAAAGCACTAGATTGTGGCTGGCCTACAGTAGATGCTCAGTAAACGTAGCTATTATTTTTTTAGTCAACATTCTTGCATACCCTTTCCACTCACCCCCTCCTCCCTCTTCTTGTCTGCACAATAAGCAGACATTTTGCCTGGCTTTCCAAGGAGGCTGGGAGCAAATGAATTCCAGGCTTCACTTACCTGGACTACCGTACCTCTGCAAAGCCACCATCTCCTGGTTCTTTCTTCATCCAGGCTGCCTAAGTCCCCAGGACTCTGGTGAAAACTTCTGATGAGAAAAGCAATGGGAGACTCCTCACCACTTTCTCTACTATCACGTTGCAATTCTTGGAGACTGGCAGCCTCACCCTCCCAGGTTTGCAAAGGGAGGTATGAGGTTCTTTGGGGACTTACACTGGAGTACAATTTAAATTGGAAGCTCTCAAGACATCTCGAAATGTTTCCTGTACTTTTTTTTTTCTCGGTAAAGATTGGAGAAGCTGGAAAATGGGTCTTTGTAAACACAGAAGGACAAAATATAATTTTGATGTTTACATTAAATACTGGATGAGTGGAGGCACAGCGCCCTGTGCGGTGTGTGGGGCGGGGTGTGTTTTCTTATTGATGAAAGGCACTGCGCAGGTCAACTCCGTAAACCCACAGGAGACAAGCTAATTGCGGGGGGGGGGAGGGGCGGGGGTGTGGTGCGAGGGCACTGGTACTAGTTTAGGGGGGCCGTGAATGTGAACGTGAGAAGGGGAGAGGCGTGCCCCAAGAGCGCGGGAAAGATTACTGCTGTGGCAACTGCGTGTCTATTTCCACAGCTCCCTGGCTTGCGGCAGCCCCCGACTGGGCAAGGGGTGTGATGTGGGAGTGGGGTGGGAGGGGGCAGCGGGCGGGGCCTGCCACGTCACGTGGCGAGTGTGAGTTGGGAAGGAAGGGCAGAGCGGAGAGCCGAGCCACTGCAGCTGCAGCGGCTGCAGAGAAGGCTTGAGCGTTGGGGAGGTGGGTCCCCGCGCCCTGGCGCCAAGGCAGCCCCAGAGCCCTCTACGAGGCTGGCAGTGAGGCCCCTAGGGAGGAGGTGGCTGCTGTGGCGCGGGAACGGCGACCTTGGCTAGACGGAACCCGCGGTGGACGTAGGGCGGAGGCCGGAGCCCCGCCAGGAGTCTTTGCGGAGCCGGAGGGAGGCGCATCTGGCGCTTCGGTACCCGCGGCAGCCGGGGGGCTTAAGCTGTGCTGGAGAAGCGCAGTGGGAGCTGGGGAGTGCTAACCGGTCTGGAGGGCGGACCCCTGCGTCTCCGAGCCCAGTCTCAGGCACCGTGGGACGAAGCCACGCGTCTTTTCAGGCATCCAGTTTCACACACGCCAGTTTGCGGTTCCAGGTATCCCAGTAAGCTCTAGCACCCAGGCGCCGACAACTGGAGGCGGGGAGCCAAGTCCTCGGCGACCAGGGCACCTCCCCTGACAGCCTTACAGGGACCAGGGCGTCAGGGCTCTCGGACCCCACCACAGGTTAGACACCTAGCTCCGAGGAGCGCGAGCCCCACCCTAGAAAGAGGGCGCACGCAGCCTGGCGCTGGGAAGCGCTGCTGCGCTCCAGAGGTTGTGTCGGGGGGCGCTGTCCTAGTGGCGGGGAGCGCAAAGCGGAGGGGACATGAGATCGGAGAAATCCCTTACGTTGGCGGCGCCGGGGGAGGTCCGTGGGCCCGAGGGGGAGCAACAGGATGGGGGAGACTTCCCGGAGGCCGGTCCAGGAGGGGGCTGTTGTAGTAGCGAGCGGCTGGTGATCAACATCTCCGGACTGCGCTTTGAGACACAGCTGCGCACCCTGTCGCTGTTTCCCGACACGCTGCTGGGAGACCCCGGCCGCCGCGTCCGCTTCTTCGACCCCCTGAGGAACGAGTACTTCTTCGACCGCAACCGGCCCAGCTTCGACGCCATCCTCTACTACTACCAGTCGGGGGGCCGGCTGCGGAGGCCCGTCAACGTGCCCTTGGACATTTTCCTGGAAGAGATCCGCTTCTACCAACTGGGGGACGAGGCCCTGGCGGCCTTCAGGGAGGATGAGGGCTGCCTGCCCGAGGGTGGCGAGGATGAGAAGCCGCTGCCCTCCCAGCCCTTCCAGCGCCAGGTGTGGCTGCTCTTCGAGTACCCGGAGAGCTCTGGGCCCGCCCGGGGCATCGCCATAGTCTCCGTGTTGGTCATTCTCATCTCCATCGTCATCTTTTGCCTGGAGACCTTGCCCCAGTTTCGTGCAGATGGTCGAGGTGGAAACAACGGCGGTGGTGTGGGCAGAGTCTCCCCAATTTCCAGGGGGAGTCAGGAGGAAGAGGAGGATGAGGATGACACGTATACATTTCATCCTGGCATCCCCTCTGGGGGCGTGGGGGCGGGGGGCTCAAGCTCACTAAGTACTCTCGGGGGCTCCTTCTTTACGGACCCCTTCTTTCTGGTGGAGACCCTGTGCATCGTTTGGTTCACTTTCGAGCTCCTGGTGCGCTTCTCCGCCTGCCCCAGCAAACCAGCCTTCTTCCGCAACATCATGAACATCATTGACTTGGTGGCCATCTTTCCCTACTTCATCACCCTGGGCACCGAGCTGGTGCAGCAGCAGGAGCAGCCGTCGGCCAGCGGAGGGGGTGGCCAGAATGGGCAGCAGGCCATGTCCCTGGCCATCCTCCGAGTGATCCGCCTGGTCCGGGTGTTCCGCATCTTCAAGCTCTCCCGCCACTCCAAGGGCCTGCAGATCCTGGGCAAGACCTTGCAGGCCTCCATGCGGGAGCTGGGCCTGCTCATCTTCTTCCTCTTCATCGGAGTCATCCTCTTCTCCAGCGCCGTCTACTTCGCAGAGGCCGATGATGACGACTCGCTGTTTCCCAGCATCCCAGACGCCTTCTGGTGGGCAGTGGTTACGATGACCACAGTAGGTTACGGGGACATGTACCCCATGACAGTGGGGGGCAAGATCGTGGGCTCGCTGTGTGCCATCGCTGGGGTCCTCACCATCGCCCTGCCGGTGCCAGTCATTGTCTCCAACTTCAACTACTTCTACCACCGGGAGACAGAGCAGGAGGAGCAAGGCCAGTACACCCATGTCACTTGCGGGCAGCCTGCACCGGACCTGAAGGCAGCTGACAATGGACTTGGCAAGCCTGAATTGTCTGAGGCCACCCGGGAACGTAGGCCCAGCTACCTTCCCACTCCACATCGTATATATGCAGAGAAAAGGATGCTCACTGAGGTTTGACCCAAGCAGGCAGGGCCTGCACGAGAAGGGGGACACTGAGCAAATAATCTCCTAGGCTTCTTTCTCATTCCCCAGAATCTCACCAGAACTCCAGGTGACTCCCTGCCTCCTTCCCCTACACCCAGTGCATGGCATCTGGGACCAATTACCTGGACTGTCAACTCTGTTGCTTGGTCCCTGCAGTATTCAAGGTTTATCCATCTAAGCAACATTTTTGAAATTCTAATGGTGCCACCCAGTTATGCCCATCTTCTGTTACATGGATGAGATTTCTGTCTGACTTTTCCTCAAGACTCTGATTTTTCATGTCTGAGACTTGTAATACCTGTAGGAACAGAGATTTCAACAGGACGGAAACCAGGTTATCCCTGGGTCCTGTTTCTCCCAGTGGTGTCCTTTGCTTTGGGGCATGCACCCGCCTTAGCCAGATGGTAACTGGCGGCAGCTGGAGAACAGAAATGGTACTCACCTTGCTGTTTTATTCCAGAGCTCTGTAACACCTTCTGGTCATCCACGGAGGACCCTTGGTAGAACCTTTAGCTGCACAGCCTCAAAATATGTTCATCTCTAACCTGGGATGGAATTAGAGAAACTACAATTACACTTGGCCATTTGGAGGACACTAAAGTCAGTCCCCGATCAAAGGGGCCAGTGGATTTTTCCAGGTGTGCTCTGGCAGTCAACATCAGTCTTTGGTCTTCATTTAGTCTTCCCCACTCTCATCCCCTGACTCTCTGTAGCTTCCAGGAAGGCTCTTTCTTAGAGCCAAATACTCTTTTTGTGCAAGTGCCTTCCTGTGCAGAGGAACTGGAAAAAGGGAACCACAAAGCCAGGAGAGATGGCTGAATAGAGTCAAGCAACTGGCATGTCTACATATCTGAAGAGAGATGCCACTTAAACAGATATTGTCATCTCAGAGGGGCAGAGGAATCTTCTTGCTGATGGCAAATTTCTCTTCCTTGTTTTCCCCCAACCTCTTTAGCCCGGCACCCTTCTTCTTGGGAATTTGATTTAGGATCATAATTGAAGGCTTTCTAAAGCAAACTTCAGCTTAAACCTGTAGACAGGTAAAAGCACACATTAGATGCTAGCATGGCCCCCCCCCCCCCATCTTGTGGGCAATGAAATAGATGGTTTAGAGTAAGGAAGAAGCATTATGCCTTTGCTGACAGTCTCACTGCTAGAGGTTTTTTGCTGAGTCAAGCAAACATTCACCCCTTGGAGCTGCAGCCAACTTGCTCAAACTGGTAAGGTAACAAGGTGGTGTCACCACCTGGACTAAGCCATCTTCTTCCATCGTGAAACTCCTGCCTACCATCCTACTGCCCACTTCCCCTCATTTCTCTCCTGGTAACATTGTCATTTGTTTGTTGCCTTGATAAACTGTGATGTACCGTTCTGAGCTCTTTTAGGTACAGTTCAGAAACTGAAAGGACTGTTAACATGTTTTAAATTTTATATCTATGCTTTAAGACTCTTTGATGAGAAATTTTTTTAAAACTTATTTTCTCGAAGAGAAATTTATGAGGGGTGTTCTTGTGAGGGTTTTCTTGAGAGGCACTGTGGCTCCTGTGAGTACCAGATCTAAATCTGGATTTTGCCACAGCCTTACAGGGTAACTTTGGTGCCACAGTTCCTCTTTGTGCCTCAGTTTCCCCACCCATTAAATGGGAACATTAATGTCTTCCCTCCCTACCTCATGGGGAGTCCAGTAAACTCATCTGGGAAGCTGGGGTTGATGCTATGCAAATGTGTGAATTTTTGTAAAATGGACTTGGTTTTTAGTTCATTACCCTGTCTCCCATCTCCCATAGGCAAAGCCTCCTTCCAGAGTTTCTGCCTTGGATCCAAAGCCCAAGAATAGGCCATTCTGGGTCATTAGCTCCTTAACTCCCTGCTTAGCCTCTTGAACTGGGCCTCAGTCTTTCTTCTTACGCTTCAGAAAGGAAGATGCTCTTTAGACAGGTTCCGTGGGATCCTTCTAGGGCCATGGACCACCTTGATCGGGAGCTTGGCTTCTCCAAACCTGAAACATGGTAGGATATAGAGGAGTTCGTGATTTAGAAACCTTCTCTGAGGCCATCAAGTGCTGCTTTTACAAATTTCTTCCGTTCCTCCTGGCTATTGGGGGAAAGGAGAAGGGCCCAGCCGGGGGTAAATGTTGGAACACGTGGGCATGTATCTCTCTGTATGTGTATGTGATCACCCTCATCACCATATCTAATAAAACATTTCCTTTTCAAGTCAGACAGAGCATGCCTGAAAGTAAAGGGTTTGTGGAGAGCTGCGCTCTCTAGGGACTCTGGTTGCCATAGCAACCTTCCAGACTGTTCTATCTTCTGATTTGGGCAGCAAGGGAGATCAGAAGACTACATATCCTTAGCTTCTGAAATGGGAACACCTCTCTCATAGAGGGTTAGGGGCTGGTAGTGCTGGGACAGAGATGTGTGACCTTTGGAAAATGAGGGGGAACCAGGTCCCCAAAACTTACACCCTGGACCTTTCTTCCTGGTTTCCCCACCCAGTCACTGATGCTGCCTCATCTCACCTCTGATTCTTCAGAAACTTGAATGCTAAGCAACTGCCAGTTAATGTCAGTGTTATCTTTTTCAAAATAACAAGGGGGGGCGGGACTTGCTCCTCCAGAGGCAGTCAGGCTGGGCTTCTCAGAGAGTCACAGTAGTTTTAGCCCATAGTAATATTATGGAGTTTTCATGTCCTCAGAGAGAGGCTCCTCCCAGCTCTAAGAGAGATGAAGAGAAATGATATTCTTTCCCCCAGGGAACAGTCTAGCTCCTGGGAGGAATTTCATAGGTGGTTCTTCTTAAGACGTTGAAGAAAAACAGAGAGGCTGTGACCTGACCTAGTTCCTGCAAAGGATTTTGCCAAATGATCCCTCTCTGACTCTGAGCCTCTTTATGTGGATTTTGTGCCCTGAGCACCAAGAAAATATGCACCCTGTGTTGCCGTGACACCTGGGGTGCTGATTTCACAGCCGCCAGCAAAGGCAGGGTTCAGGCCATCCTTACACTTGACTCAGCCAGCAGGAGCTCCCAGAAGTCTTCCTGGATCTGTGAGGCTCATCGGAGACGTGGGATATTCCTGTGGCCTGACCACCCCCAAGGAGCGAGAGCGACAGCTGGCCATCTTTGCATCTGAGGTAGGTTCTCCTGCTGGGGAAATTCCTTCCGGCTCAGTCCTTTTGGCCAAATTAGAACTCAGGGTGGGGAAGGACGGAGAGCATGCATTTGGGGAGAATCAGGGTTTGGGTTTCCCTGTCCTCAGCAACCACCTTGCTCTCTTTCTGCATATGTTCTTTGACTCCATCCATTTTAGTTTCTTTCTTGTTTCTCTTTCCTGACTTCTGCCTCTCCCTACCCTTTCTAATCATCTCCTTTCTCTGCATTTCCCCCTTCTTTTCATTCTCACTTGCTGTGCATTTTCTTCTTCTCACTTTTCCCTTCTGTTGTTTTAATGTCTCCTTCCTTCTATGTGTATCTTTCTATCCATCTCTTTCTCCCTCTTCAATTTTCCAGTGGCTACAGGATTTCTGCTGAGGGTCACACTGTAAACTCTAGAACTAGCAGTGTTTGCTAAGAAGGTTGTTCTCCAGCTGAGGATTCACCTTTTGTCTGATTTCATATACTGTCCATTCCTACCGTGCTCACCTCTGTGAGGAAAAGTCCTGAACTTATGAAGCAAGATGAGATTGCCATGGGTTTAGAAAAATGTCTCCCGGAAATTTCCTGAACCTGCAAGGGAGGGAGGGAGGGAGGAAGGGAGAGAGAGAGAGAGAGAGAGAGAGAGAGAGAGAGAGAGAGAGAGAGAGAACAAACCTGAGACAAATACTCTGTCATACAGCACTGAAATATATTCACCTTAGGGTCCCCCAACCTTAAGTAGCTTACAGAAAGGTTCATGACAAAGAACAGAAGAAATAGTAAAATAAACAGAGAAAAGAGGACTTAGAAAGGCATAAGATTGGAATTAGCCTAGAAAAAGCCCTAACTCACAGGTAGCCTTCTGACGGTCCTTAGTTTGCTCTAAGGTCCTCATAGCACCCCTTTGTCTCTCCTGTGCACTGAGGTCAGGACAAAAGCCAGGACATAAATCCCAAGGGTGCAAAGTGCAGGGGACACTCCTTGACAAGATGTATTACGATTCACCACCAACCACTTCGTAAGAGAGCTTGTGCCTCCTCCTTGCTGGAGGTCATAGAGCATAGGGTAAGTCGCACCTGCATCAGGACATTGGGGGAGGGGGGCTTTTGGGGGTAATGGAAGTTTTCTAAAACAGGATTGTGGTGAGAGTACAACTCTATAAATTAACCAAAAAAGTCATTGATTATGAACAAAGCGTGACACAGGCTCATAACCTGGGAGAGTCACATCTTGGCTGGGAGGATGGTTTGGTTTTATAAATCTAGAAGCTTAACATCTCTAAAAATAGACCAGACTGGATATCCAGGATAGAATGACAGTTTCTGTCTTCTGCCACATGGGGACACTTTAGAGCCTTTTTTTCTGACAATCAAACCATGGTGGCATTTGCATATTTATTTATTTGTTTGTTTTTGCTGTAAAAATAGTTCAAACCATTTTTGGTAAATGCAGAGGATAACTAGCATATATGGAACTACAATAAGTAGGTTGGACATTATTTATTACATGGGACTAGGGTGTTGAACTTGCCTGAGTGACTTATACTTGCTGCAAAAAGAAAAGAAAACAACAAAACCCCCACAAACAAACCAAAAAAATCCCACCTAATCTCTGCACCTGTACACCCAGAATTCCTGAAGAAATTGCACAGGAGTCACTGCTTTATTCTACTGGCCTCCTCTCCACCTTTCTCCTTGCTGTAGTCATTAACCCTTAACAGCCGGCTGATGGGGCCCAGCAGTCTTTGGTGCTTTGGGTAAACAGAAGAGCAGGGTAGCAGCCTTCCGTTAGCTCCCGCTTCTCCATGGTTGCTCATCAGACTTTGCTCTTCTCTTGCTCTGACTTGCCTGTCGCTCACTCATCCCTTCCTTCTCTCCCCTTGGTGCTTTTCCTCATATGACACCTTCCAGTCCTGAGGCTTATCTGTCCTCTCTCCACTGGCTGAGCCCTTGCTTTTGGCAGTAATTCTGTCCCCTGGCATCTCTACATGAGTGCCAAATAGATTCCCAGAGAATATTGCCCTCCTGGGACAAGCTAGCTAGAAGTGCTGTCCTGGCTCTGATTGTTTTTGACGGTGCGCTATTGCCCCAGGAAGCAAAGTGTGGTTCAATTCTAGCTTGTCAAGGTCACTTAGGGGAGGAAAAGAAATCCATTCTTTAAACAGTAGGATTTCCTGTCTCCATCCCACTTTATACCCGGCTGCCTTAGGTTGCACAGATGCCTCATGGCAGAATCAGGCCTAGAGCTGGGGGCTTGAGCAGGAGAGGGAGCTTCCCAGATTCAGGCCACTGGGCATAAGGACAGATGGGCGCCTGGCTCTCCTGTCACAGTGCCTCCAATGAACCACTTGAGGTCTCTGTGGGGTTGGAGACTGACATGGCTTTCACATCCCTTTGCTCTGAACTCCCAGAGAACGGCGTTCGCCCTGCCTCTTCACCCTTTGTTGGTCCTCATCTCCTTGGCACCCACAGGTGGGGTGGAAACCTAGCAGCAACTGCTTTGAAAGGTGGTCCCAACAGAACAGTGACTCCCTCATTTCCAGAATAAGAAAGTAAAAGGGGCTGACGCTATATTCAGTCTCATTAATACTTGGTTATCACTTAACCTATTTGGGTCCTAACCTGGTGGGGTCTAATGACCAAAAAAAAAAAATTGTTTAAACACAACTCCAGTCTCATCGTTACTGTGAAGAAGGTTTTCCCTTAGTCTGTCATGGGCTCTGGCAGACACTCTTTGCCTGCCCCTAGCAAACATCTTGGAACCTTCAGCAGCCTCCGCTGCAGGCTGCAGGGAGCACAGACAGACCCTGACTCTCTGGCCAGAGCAAAGCCGACATTTCAGAAGGAAGTTGCAGCCACGCAGTCTGCTGGCGCTGCTATTTTTGACATGCTTGCTGTTCTCCCAGTCTTGACAACCGCTGTCTCCAGGAGACAGACAAACCCGCTCTTGGCAGCAGAGACGTTTTGCTTTGAAAAAGAACATAGGAAGACAGTCCGCAGCTGGGAGGGGCTGGAGAACGCGCCATTCCTTCCTTCTCCTCCAGGAAGCCGGGCACCTGGCTGGCAGTGTCGTAGATCTAGTGCTGGAGGTACCATCCTTGCCTGGTGAATTCTCACTCTGCTGTCATCCTCCCCCTGGGAGTAGTCTTAACAAGAATGAGGATGCACTGTTCATTTAAAACATGTTCAGTGCTTTCAGACATCATATCACATTACAAAGAGGTTAGGAGCATGGACTCTGGGGCCGGGTTTTCTGGGTTCAAATCCCATCTCTCCCACTTACCTGCTGGGTGACATCAAGCAAGTTCTAAAACTGCACCGTGCCTCAGTTTCCCTCACTGTCAGGTGGGGAGGGTAATAAGAGTACCAATTTTATAGAGCTGTTTTGAGGATTAAATGAGTCTCCTTGTACATATTGTTATACGTAAGCACAATACAAAGGTTGGCTACTATTATCCTACAACAACCAAATGAGGCGGGTAGGCTAGGCATTGTTTTCCTCTGGCAGATGAGACAGTTGACGCTCAGAGGGCATGTTCAAGGGCACAATGCCAACGTGTAGTACATCACCCTCCAGAGAGATAGAATAGAACAGAATGCAGTGAGGTTCTGATTGGTACTAAGCAAGAAGACAGAATGAATTCGTGGTTCCTAAAAACGTATGTGAGCTTTTATTAACATTCCAGTTCATCTGTGATGGAAGCCCAGCAGGTGTCCTGTGCTTTTCCCCTATGGGACTCTAACAGCACATAGCTATATATACATCTTTCTATAGCGCCTTTCCTCCCTACCATCACTGTTCTCACCTCACATGTTAATATTCCCAGGGCTTGCGCCCCCTCACCTCCCAGGGCCTTCCTTACATACTTCCTCACATCTTCCTCCTTGGGACAAATGCAGGGTCTCACAGTTAGCCCTGGGGACAGAACCCATAAGCCAGGCCCCCTGCTCAGCGTTTTCGTACACTGTTCCAGTGGCTTTCAAAATCCCACCTCCCATGGGCCTCTTCCTTTGTCCCCCTCTGTTCCCCGGCCACCTTCACATCACACTATGCCCTTCCGCCTCACTTTGCGGGTGGGGGACACCCTGTGACATTCCCTGGGTGTGTTCCAGCTACCCTTTCTTCCTTTCAGGTGGAGGAGACAGGAGACCTCAGAATCAGAACAAGCCGGGTCCCCCTATTCCTATGGGTGTCCCTTGGCTTTCACTGTGACTACAGAGCAGCTGCCTAAGCTCTCATTGTGGGGTCCCTGCTCAGACCAGATGTTCCACGCACCCTCTCACTCCCACAGCCACTGCAGCTCCCCAGGAGGACCTCACCCAGGGCAACACAGCGGGTCTGCCCCCGCCCCATCCTGAATTCAGAGCTTCTTGGCTTGCTTGCCTTAGGAGTTGGATCTGAATCACCGTTTATTAGCTGCACCTCATTTAACCTCCCCAAGCTTCAGTTTTGTCATCTGCAAAATAAGGACGCTAATTCCATTTGCTGTTTGTGAGGTGATGAGGCTCAAATGAGGCTGCAAGTTAAAGGGTTTAGCGGGAAATGAACTCTCAGCAGAGCAGCCTTCCCCTCTGCCAGGCCACCGAGGGGGCTCAGCGACACTGAACAGCCCCGGGTGGGGCTGGGACCCCTTGTACCCTCACAGAGAGGCAGGGTCCCGGTGACTTCAGTTTGGCCCTCGGAAACAAACACTGAAATGAAATAGGACATACAAAACTTGACGCAGCATAGCTAGCTATCTTACCAGAAGACTCTTCGCCTAAAGGCTTCACAGCAGAATCTCTAAATAATTGCACTTCAGATGCGACATACTATGTAGAAATGTAACCTGAGCATATCTTGTAAGAATAGGATGGATATACCAGTAATAATTTTTCCAACAGTTAGTTTCCAATCCAAAGTAGAATGGGGACTGTTCCTCACCCCTTCCCACAAGCACTAGAGCATTGCCAAGGGCGGTTCGGAGGGTTGCAGATGGACAGAACTCCAGAGCTGGAAGGGGCTGTAAGCCCTCCTTCGTGAAGGAGGGATCTGCTGCCGAGAAGTGGGGTGACCAGCCCACGAGCACACAGGCAGTTACGGGCAGAGCTAGCACTCCCGTTTTCTGACTCCAACCTCAGGATATTTTTCTATGGAAATTGGAAACCTAAGGATCGCTTAACCATTTTTTTTTAAACCAACATTATTCATTTCCCACCCAACCAAACTCCTTAGCTGAGCTGTCCATAGGAAACAGAATTAAGTGCTTTTTAATTTCATGCCTCTCTCCTGACTTTCCCAGGTCCAGAGGCAGCAGGCCTAGCTGGAGAAATCCTGGATCAGAGAACCAGCTCCTGGATTTTTAAGGAAAGATTAATAACTGTTACTCTGTTGAGTACCAAGGTATTTTGCACTGGGCAAAGCGAGGCTCGTGTGCAGGCTGGGGCCTGGGAAGCCATGCCCTGGGCTTCAAATCTCACGGAGATTTAACCTTTCCATGCTTTGCTTTGCTTTTTCTATTAAATTTAGGGACTGGGCTGTAGGAAACTGTCATAGGTTGGAAAGCAGGAGGTTACTTGAGACTTCTGTATTTTACAGAGGAAGGGAGGAATGCAGAAAGTTAGCATCTTACCCACAAGTGCCGACTTCTGATGCCCTGGGAAACAGAATCAGCTTCTAGACTCTTCTCTGTGCTTTGTTGCCCTGGTAGAGAAAGAGAAGTTATTGTTGGGTTACAGGCCTCTTTTATAAATCACTGGACTAGGGTCAGGGAGAACACAGTTTCCAGAAGCCATGGTAGCTGGGCCATAAATCAGACAGATGCTCCCCAGCTGCTTGGAGGCAATTTCGCATAGCTGGGAAGAGGGAAAAGTCTGGTGTGTTGGGGCACAAAGCAGGGCTGCTTTCTACTCGGGAGGGTCCCCATTTGCCCCAGAGCAGCCCAGGCGCTCACCCACACTCAGCCAGGCTCTGCTCATCTGGAAGTGTGACTGTTTTTTGTCTTATTTTTTTCTGCATCTTCAACCCTCTGGTTCATGGTTTTCCATGCCTGCAGAATTACAGATAGCAACCCCAGAGCACTCAGCCTAAAACTGCAGGTTACACTTGATAACAGGTTCTAAATCAGTGACATCTGGGCCAAATATGATGCCATGTTAAGAAATACCAGATACGACAATTATATCTCAAAAAAACTGGAAAAACATACAGTAAATAATAGAAGATTTCATATGCAGTGCTGGATTTTTGGTTTCCCTTGAAAAACTAAAGGTCTGGTCTCATTGTTCCTGTATTTCGACTTTTCAACATCAGTCAGCAAGGGCGAGCACAGCTGCCGCCTTCACTGGGGAGTGGGTTCTCTTTTGCCTAGTGCCCACAGAGGCTGGGGCCATCTGTCATTTTCATTGTGCCCACAGCATTGTTTTTTTTGGAGGTGGGAAACACTTCCCTCTGTGTGCATTTCAACCACCGGTTACAAAATCAAAGACTGAAGGGTGCCATGTTTAGGGAAATCAAACCCACCCTACTGTATAACGTGACACTGGGACACTGGTGCATGTGACTGCTCTCGAAAGACTTCCTGTATGATCTCATTTAATTGAGTCACTGTGGACTATTAAATGGGGAAGAGGTAGGTGTGGTTGTCAGAAACAGATAGCGAGGGCTGGCAGCCTGGGGAGGAGACAGTGACAACTCTAGAAGACAGAGTTATGTGGTTGCATGGAGAGCAGAGACCTCACAGGAATCAAGAATAGGCTAAGTTATGTCCTCTGTCCAATGGAGAGGGCAAGGAGGTGTGTGATGCAATTAAGGATTTCCATCTAAAATGACTAACATGAGAAACAGGCAAACTTGGGTGTTTGGATAGTTCTGATTTGAGGATGACCTCCTCCTTTTGTGATGTCAGCTAATGAACCATCACTCTGCTCCTGCCGGTGGGATGTGTGAGAGTAAAGAGTGAAGCATATGGCTTTCCCAGGTAATGGTTGGCTGCTCAGCCATGGGCTCTGCATCTGTTGGGTGTCTATGCGACATTGTGAGCCCCATGGTCACCCCAGATCCTATCTGCCTCTCTTCCCAGATTCCCCTCCACCCCACAGTTGTCTTTGGCTCTCAGGTGGACTCTCCTATCTGTGAACTTTATTGGTCAGAAGTTAAGTGACTAGAGTCACGATATTGCCTTGGAAGAGGGATGAGAAAGGCCCCCCTCTTTTCCTAGGTTGACCTGTAATTTCATTAAAATATTTCAGCACCAGAATTCAGGAGGGCAGTCTCAACAGCATTTTGGGCTAGAGTCAGCTCAAAATCCTTAGGATTCCAAGAGAGAAGTAGATTTCACACTCACCACTCACTGGGGACAGCTTTCACTTCTGAAAACCCAAAGAGGATTGTATTATGACCGACACCCTCCCCCCCGCCAATTTGCCCTTTCCAGGCATGCAGAAAAATTACATCAGGCTGGGCGTAAAGGAAATCCATCATGGACCTTACATCTAAATGTCTGTCTGCCTCACTTTTCCCCCATAATTGCACTTCTGAAAACTTGTTTTTGACATGAGTTGAGTGTGTGTGTATAAAAAAATTAAAATCATTTTCCTACCAGAGATGCTTTTTACTAAAAGGGGGCCTTGTAGGTTTAAAAACGTATACAGTAAATTTAAAAGAGAGTATATAGTCTGAAGAAAAATGAACTTAAACTGGTTTACACCATACTACACACTATCATAATTTATTCCTCCACTGGAAGGAAAAGGATTGCTATGTTATTAGAAATGGTGGAGATTGCTGAACAGATTTGAGAAAGAAAGAGGCTTTTTATTCATTGGAGAAACTAGGGGATATTTTTCCAAATTTATGTTCAAAAGTGGGAACTCAAAGAAACTCTATTACCATTTTTTCTTTTTTTCTTGCTGCATTTTGACTGTCTGGGTGACAAATTTGCAAGTGTGCAGCACCGCATTTCTAGCCTTCCTTCCTGTGGCCATGTCAGGGGAGGCAGGATGGGAGGAATGGAGACAATCCTGAGGCCCTTGTCTCTGTTAGCCACGTAGGCAGGGGGTGATGTTGGCCCACCCAGGAGTCAGAGCCCAGTGCTGCCACCCGCTAGCTGTGTAACTGTGTGGCCCTGGGAATGTCGGGATCCTCTCTGAGCCTTGGTTTTCTTCTCTGTAAAATCAGGTCATTAATATAATGCCCTCCATGGTGGCCAGTGGAATTAAATGAGATCGTGCTACCGAGGGTGCATCACAGTGCAGGGCATGTTTAAGTACCCAATAAAAGTGGGTTATGATTTCCACGGTCTCTTTCTTCTCTGCCTGTTTCAGTGGGTACTGAGGCACAGGCCAGGCCTCTGACAATTGCCCAACCTTTAGGAACAGCTGAAACCACTCAAAGCTCTTGTAGGTCAAAGTCTTTTGGGAAATATATATGCAATCGTTTCTCTCACTTTGCAGGTTCCTATTTTCTGGCCTAACACAGAGCATGATTAGGCTATTCAATCATGAAATACTTGGCCTTAACGAAGGTGACTCATGCAAAGAGCCTTAATACCCTTTTAGACTGAGAGCTGCTCCATGCTAAAAAAGCCAGCAGAAGAGAAGATCCAGGAATTCTGACAAATTTCTATAAAAAGAACATAAGCAATAAAGCGACGAATCCACTCAGAATCCCTGGGAGCTGTGAGAATGTCCAACTCCCTTAGGAATTACTGAGAGGTTGCATACCTGAGTGTGGGACGATTGTGTGGCCCAGCCCTTGACCTGCCTGACTTCTGGGAGAGTGAGCTGTAAGGAGACTGACTGCATAGGACCCAGGTAGAATGCTTCCTCATGTGCCCAACATGCTCGTAAGTGTGCCTTTGTGATATGTTGGGGTGAGCGTTCTGTTTTGGTATTGCAATACGCGTCAGTGGAAAATATGACTCAATTATAGATAATGTATTTCCTTACAGACAACGCTTCAGGGATTATTTAATTTGCAAGGAAGTCAGCTGAACTCATGCGACATGTAAGTAGAGAATAAGACAAAATTATGTGGAATAATTGAGCTGGAAGAGGCTTCCAAAAGTCACAGAATCCATTACTCTGCCCCACAATAGAAAAAGTTCCTAACTACCCCAGACCTATTCTGAAACATCCCCAGAGAGAGAGAGAGAGAGACTCCATGACCGAGACTCCCTCAAGCTGTTTGTGTTGGAGCTTCACAACCTTTGTTGTGAGGATGTTTTCTTCCTGTCTTGGTTACGCATCTCCTGTGTACTTTAAACTTCCTTCCTCCTATTTTGTCCTTGGCTGATATGGTTACTTAACTGACCATATTACCTAGAATAATCCCTTATGCCAGAGTTCCTCAAATGCGATCTGCAGAATGCTCATTCGACACGACATTCCCATGGGAAAAGAATCCCCAGGTACTACATTTCAGAAACACTGCCTCTTGGAGAGACACAATGCACATGAACAGAAGATTAAAGGCACTGACAAGTCATGCAGCAAATAAAGCTATTTCATTTCTTTAACCCTTTCTGGGGTAACTTCTATTCACATCCCACAAAAACTGTAATCTAAGGATTACATTTTGAGAAACTCAAAGAAATCTGAAACTCCTTGTGATGCATTTGAGTCATGGAACCTCAGCTCTTAAGGGTTTTCTCCAATGGGCCATTTTTGTAGCTTTTCATCACCCCTCTTGAGTTGTGCAGAGACGTATAGAATTAGGGTTTTGATAAGGCTCTGTGTAATGTGAAAGAAGATATCCTCTCTCCTGATGCTCTTCAAAATCTTCTTAAAGGGAAGTCTTCAGGGAAAATAAAGAGTTGGTTTAATTTGTTAGATTTAGAGTTTCTGTTTTACTTTGCTGGCAAATGTCCACACTTCAGATACACTTCTCCAGATAGAAGACTTATTTATGATGTCAGTTACGGAGTAACAGTCCAATTTCCAAGTATCTTGGCAACCAAATAAAAGATGATAACATGCATTTCTAGTCAGATGTACTTTTCTAACTAAACTGGGCCTTTTAATGAAAACATTCCAGCACACCTTTACTAATTAATGATCATATTTATAAAATCTTATTCACAATCTGAGCAAGACACAAAGAAATACTAGCCATGTACGCTAAGTAACCAAGTTTTCCCGTCTTCTTCCTCATTTTCCTATATACTGCATTCAAGTGCGACACACTTTCTCCTAAGGTACTTTAGGGACTGGTGCCTCCCAGTTGGACCTGGTCCCCCAGTGCTCGGATTTAAGGCCTCTGGGAAGCTCTTTCTGCTCTGTGCTCTGTGTGCTACTGAGGGCGTTTACCTTTGATTCTCCTCTGCTGACCCCAGGAAGGCCCGATGCCCTTGTCTAGTTCCTCCACCAGCTGGTTCAGACTCAGTCCTTCTTCCAAGGTTTCTC